GTACCTTTCATGTTCTCATTAAAGGTTGTAAAAATGCCTATACTGTACAAGCTGTATACTGCGTATAAATATCGGGTTGATGCTATTTTCTAAACGAGGCAAATCTCTTTTGCGTGCAGAATATGCGGTATACACTTTGACGCGCAAATTTCAAGAAGGATTAAAAACAGCTGAAACTTATTGTTTGCTGCTTCCTCCTCCCAGGTTCTGAATGCGTCAAATAATGTCCGTTTGACGCGATGACAGCAGCAATAACACATATATGAGCTTGAGTATCTATATATGTATAGGATTTGACGAATGAATGGTTGATTGATTGACCTACTTTTGCACTTTCCAGTAGTCGCGGCCGTGTTGCCCGCTGACCTTGCGCACGGCCCCGCGATGCCGGAGTCCCCGTCTGCGACCCGATGCGAACCCCTCATTGGATTTATTCCCGATGGGGCTCGACGATGACCCATTTCGGCGGGCCAGTAGGTCACGATCTCCACCTTCTTCTTCTTCTTGCGGCAAATCATCATCATCATCACTGGCCTTATCGGGTCTCGTCGTCGTCAGCAGCACTTCCGCACCCACCGTCGACCGTCGCCGCAACTCGTCTTCGTCCGCATTGCTCTTCCGGTCCTTATTGGTGTTTTCCGAGGCCCAGTAGCGGCGCAGGAACCGCATTTTCGGCTTGTCATTGCTGCTGGACTTGTGCTGTTGCTGTTGCTGCTGCTCACGTGGCCCGTCATCTGCCGCATACGGAGAAGAGAAGCTCATTACTTCAATATAGAAAAAAGAAAAAATGTTGGGGAACTTCAGAAAAAGTTTGTTATGCAGGTACTGAAGACCAAGATTTTGATATTAATGCCTGGAAACAATTTTTACAACTGACCTGCCTATACAAACAATTATATATTGCTTTTCTGGTATTTTCAGATTTTTTCCCCTTATTTTAAAAAAACTGAGTGGTCTTCTGAAGAATACTGCATAATAATTATCTTCGATCAGCATTCATTCCATCAGTTCCACTAATCTCTTCATTCACAGGGAATGGAAGCATGTTGCATCCACTTCAGTCAGGTTTAGTTCCAATAAGACAAAACAATACTGCATAGGCATTTCAATAACAGATACAATGCAGCAGCGACATCTAGCATATCCTGAAAATGATTATCATTAAATACGGATAAACTGCTGTACGATGAAATTAAGTCCTGTACTGTTTATATACAGTACAGTACAGTACTTTGGACACGAAGGCAAAGAGATTTCCTTCAATGCATTTTTTTTCTCACTTGCCTGCATTATTCTGCATTTTATAAAGGCTGTCCTGCTTGTCGACGTCGTCCAGCTTTTCTTCACTGCCTTGCGAACTTTCCAACGCGTAATCCCTGTTATTCTTCCTCTTTGAAGAGTTGGACATTTTCCTGTCCGTCCTGATGATTGTTGGTGAAGCGGATGAATCATTTTTTGTCGGCCTACGGAAAGATTTGATTGGGAATTGAAAAAGCGAGTGTTTAATTATAACGGCACCTATATACTGGATGCAATGCTCGAGTACGTATGAAACTCTCACTTGAAAGGTACTGTATAATTAATAAATTGTGTCTTTGACTCTGTTTCTATACATTTCAATTCCTTATTCATCCTCGACTGTTGAGAAATTACGAAATATGTTGTACAGTACAGCACTTTCTTCAAATCTGGACTGAAATATCATCGAGCTAAAATCAGCAACACCTATGGACATTATTCATCAAATTGTAATCACTGTAGTACAGTATTTACAAACGGTGCCAGACTGCAATTTAATTCTTCAGGCGTGCATACATAATACGGTAGACTGTATCGTACATCAGTGAATATATATTAATTCACTCACTTGGATTCGGAAATTTTATAGAAACCGGTTCTGTTGGTGGATTTCTTGGCCAATGCCAACAAGTTATTCAACTTGTTGCTGTGATGCGGTTTGCTGATGGTGCCCTCTCCATCATTTTCTTGCCACCTGACGACGAGAATCAATAACGAAACAATAATGACATGGAAATTGGATGATGCAAGAAGAAACACACCAACACATGCAAAAGATAGAATCACAACAAACACAAAATTGATTTTTTCGGGTGGTTTTCCCTGCATTTCTTTCTGAAATCATCATAATTTTTTCTTGCTTGTCTAATGAGAGGGATTGCGAGTACAGTACTGTAATTTATTCCTGTTCTTATTAGCGTAGGACAAAACCCCAAACATAATCCCATATTATATTTAGAAAATTCAGCAGAGATTATTTTCAACTGCGTGTAAACTTTTGCTGGTTGCTTCTGTGCTGACAATGTCTTGTCTCGGTATTCTGATGAAAAAAATAATTCGTCATTGTGTTGATGATGCATTAGAATTTGGAATATTCAACCCATCACTTCAGAAATCATAACTCTTGATAAGGAATTTTCTTGAGGGCTCCTTCAAGTTCTTTATACAGTATAATAAAGCATCAAGACTGAAAATTTATTCGGGGGCCTCTCTATAGACACTAACAGAGCAGCAACGTTTTTATTGCAACAAAAAAGTCAACAATGAAGAGTACTGTACGTCACTTTTCTTTATGATTTTCGTTGTTGTCGTTGTCGTTGTCTTCATCATCATCATCTTCGGTTTCATCCAACACGACATCCTCAGGATGATGAATAACCACCGATTGCTGCTGATTCGGATCCTTCGTCAGTATAGTCCGCTTATTGGCAGCAAAGGCGTGCAGAGTTCGGCCGATCCGCCTCAACTTGGCACCAGACGCCAATTCCTTCTTATTATTCTGCTGGGAAGTCCCGTTGCTGTTATTGGCGACTACGGTCATTGTCGTCATTGGCAACTCCTCGCCTTCCGACGGACTGTCGTCGTCGTCGTCGTCCGCATTCGCCGTCTCCGACTGCTGCGATGATGACGACGCTTTGCTCAGAGTGAGCTCCATGTGCTCGGCTGCATTTATACAGGGTGGGCCAAAAAGAAAAGGGAGCCAATATTCAAATTAAAAATAGATCAATAGCAAATTGGGCTGCTGTGGAAATGAAAGAAAAAAACC